ACTAAAAACTACTTCCAAAAACATTCAGCTTTGATATTAATGAGTTTTTTGGGTTCATTGAGAACATGGTTGTTGTTCAATAATAAAATTATTCCTCAAAAATACAACTTGCCAAATAATTCTGCACTCCTTGTATAATCTATCTATCTATCTATCTACAATTTACAACAAAGTCAAACCTCAGTGAAGCGTTCAACTTCACTCTGGTTCTGTTGTTTTTTTCCAGACATCAGCATAAGCTTATTTTGCAGCTCTTTGAGGTCCTCATAGGTGTATGTCATGTTTTTATGACTGTCGTCAATTTGCAGTGTCAGGGAATTCTCGACATTAACCTATAAAGGGAAATATCAAAATGATAATACTATTTAATACTGTTAAAAATTCAACTCAGCTCAAAGGAAAATTAATCTCTGCTGACATGAAGATTAATTTCTCAGATTTTTTTTTTAAATTCAGGCACCAAGAAACATCTCCATCTTCTTGGACAGAGCTACAAGCTGTTCAGCTAAACTTCCAGTTACTTTGAAGCAATACTGGGCTTTTCAAAACTTGATTTCCATATTGATACATGGGTCATTCTGAGTTTTGCAATAAATCTTAGCTTCCCAACACCTAAAAATCGGGTTCCCTGCAGTGTATAATCTATCTATCTATCTATCTATCTATCTATCTATCTATCTGATGATATAACATTCTGTAACTGTTTGTGTCAGTAACAATTTACAACAAAGTCAAACCTCAGTGAAGCGTTCAACTTCACTCTGGTCCTCACATGTCATGTTTTTATCACTGTAGTCAATTTGCAGTGTCAGGGAATTCTCGACATTAACCTATAAAGGGAAATATCAAAATGATAATACTATTTAATACTGTTAAAAATTCAACTCAGCTCAAAGGAAAATTAATCTCAGCCCACAAGATTAATTTCTCAGATTTTTTTTAAATTCAGAAAATTACAAGAAATAACCATATGAAAAGTAACAAAAAAAAAGTTAAGAAAACAAAATACAGCAACACATATGTGATATTACAGTTGTGGAAATTCTTTCAAAATTAAGGATTATTGTCATGCAATCATGTATGTACCTGTTGCTGGTCTTGTGCCTTAATGATATATATCCCTCTGTTATTGACAGATGTAGCCAGAGACAGAGATGAGAATTCAACAGATCCATGACTTTCTCTAACAGACTTTAACCATTCCAGGTGTCTGGAAGTATCCCACTGAAATGAGACATCAGTCAAAAAAATTAGTCAGTAAATGCTGGATCAAAAGAAATGAACAGAGCAAGTTCTGGCTTTGCAATTTCAGCACTTTAAACATCAGAGCCTATAATTAATGTGAATGCCGTTTTAGTTTCTGAGATTAAAGAAATGTCAACCATTCTCATATCTTGGGCAGAAATAGCCAAGATGGAGGGCACTTTTTAAACTGGTATTTCTTGGTGAATTTTACTGGTATAGACACAAAAAACACATGTCCTGATTCAATAACATCTATTTAGTGTCTTTTGCTCTTTTGTCAGGCCTTTTACTCAAACAATGCACCATGAATTTCTTTTTTAATGCAAACTGGAGACTATTGAGTAGGATACTTGGTTGATTTGAAATAAAATTAACCTATGTGAATTACAGCAAGCAAGTTATTTGATCATATTTGTTTATTTGCATCACAGGCAAAGTATTTTGTACATGGGGCTTGTTTCTTTATCAGCTACTATAATAGCAGTGCTTCTATCTGTTTCTATGCTGATCTACCATTTTTTTCCATGGTTGCATTTTTGCTCATTTATTTTAACTCTGGTTTGACTAGAGTGTTAATGTTAGTTATAGCATGGCATGAAAGATGGAATCTTACCAGCTTTTTTGGTATATTTTGGTCATTATCAAGTGCCTTCCACAATTTTTTTAATGATTCATTGAACTTCGCAAAATCAGAATCCTGCTTCAGATCATACAGCATGGATGAGTAACCAAGAACAGCATCATGAAGACAGGCCACTCGATCGACATCCATGTCATTTTCTCCAGCAGAGATTGATGCCAGGTCAACAAACACTTTCAGCTCATTGATGTCTGCAATTAATAGCATCCTTCAGATGTTGTAAAATGCATTTAATTTTTAATAATCAAAAAATGAAATTTCTGTACCTTTAAGTTCTTTTTTAGTCCACTGGATAAAGTCTTTACTCTGAACGAGTGTTTGCAGACATTCCTTACGATCATCTGAAATGTCTTTCAGAATATTTTTTGCATGTAGAAAAGCATCATCAATGTAGCTTAGATTGTTTTTCTTGAAGTTGGGTTCATTCTGAAAAAGGCACATATACACTAAATCGCATGATAATAGATTTTTAAGAAAAGTATACAAATGGAAAAATGATTATTGTTTATGTCACACATATTTAATTGCACTGAAGTTTGTTTAGATTTCACCATTTTGCCAGAGAACAAAACCAAACTAATTTTTACCAGTGGCTATAGTTAAATGTTATTAATAGTGAATGATAATTTATCCTAATTACTTAATTATATAATATGTATAAAGAATATATCTTCTACAACTAAACACAACTACATTTTTCTACATCCATCAAAAAGTCAAACGTGAGTCTGATGTTAATATCCTGCCAACGGCTAGAGTTTGTTCAAATGAACTTATTTGTAATGGTCTTCAGTGGGTGTAAACATACCATTTGGAGCAGTTTCTTCAGTTCACTGAAGTCCCCTTCTGGACATATTATATTTTTGATATCCATGACAATTTTGGAAGTTTCCCGTGCTAGATGAATATCCTGGTACTGCTGAATCTGGTTAACCCTTTCACTGATCCATGTTTTGTCATCAGATGGGTCTACTCTGCACATGATGTTTAAGTCTTTCTCCAAGTCTTCATACTTGCCTTTATAGGCTTTAAATATGCTGTCAGTTTCCTCCAGTAGAAGCTCCCCACTCTTAAGACTAACATAAAGCCTTTTGAAGTTGGTGTAGCAGGTCTGGAATATTTTGTTATAAACCTGCTCAAAAGTGTAGATTTCTTGATTTCTGTCACTGTTGCCTTCTTGAGATTTGTCTCTTGTCAGTACCTCCACTTGGTTTGTCCAGCACATTTTGAAGATTCCACTGTCTTTAATGGCATGGATATCAGAAGCCATCTGGTGGGTTTCATCACACAGGTTGAAGTAAGTGACATTCGCTGTTGCACTAGAGTTCAGGCCATCCAGTGTGTGAACCTTCATAAATTCACTCAGATTCATTGTCTCAAAGTTCTGCTTAAGTTTCTTATCCAAACCATTCAAGTCAACTGTGGATTCAATGTGGAAAAGCTGTTATTACAAAAATGTTTGTACATATTAAACAACAACAATTTTTCTTAGCCTTAACTGCAGTATTTTCAGCCTCAGTGTCTTTCAAGTCAAAATTGCTGTAAATTAATGCTGGAAGTTAACAATTGTCATCTCTATGCTGAATTGACATGGGGGAACTGGTTTTACAAAGGGCATGCACGCAAATGCTAAATAACGCAATGTATGCTACTTCAATTGCATACAATTGTAGTCCATACAGACAATGTTCATTTGTAAATGATTAACTAACAATCTTGAGTTTAAAATGCTTTGGCAATATTGTAGAAAATGTTAAACTTAATCATCATCTCGGCCTCCTCTGACGACCTGTTTGCTGTTGCATGCTGCTGAAAGGCAGTGGGGAGAGGGGACACTTGGGCAGTGCATTTATTGCAGCATATAATGTCTTTTCTGGATACACTGTGCTTTTTCAGCATTCAAAGACTGATGGCACCGTGTCAGAGCACTGGCTATGAATTTCAGACGGATCAGGCCTTAACTTAACAAAAAAATTATCAATAGTTCTTTTCATCTTTTCTTATTACCCACAGCTACATCCACTTCTGTCGGGCTTAGGCTACTCACTAGGGCTGGGTATCATCACTGATTTCTATAATCCATTCTATTCTAGTTCTCAAGTCCTGATTCGATTCAATTTTGCTTCAAACAGTCAGAAATATTATAATTCTGATCATTTATCAGTACTGATACATGTGAGACTTCATCAGAATTGTGAACATCACAGCACATGCCTTTGTGTGAAAGTAACTGAGAATAAGCAGATAACCTTAAAAATATTCTGCAATATTCTGCAATTTTGCATAATTTTAAAAAGTTTAAATTTCTTCAGTATTGAACAGCAGAAATGAGGCTTTCTTGTCCGAGGTCATTTAAGTAAAAAAAAAAAAAAAAAAAAAGAAAAAGACAGCAGCCGACAGCGCTGTAAACAACGGTAGACTGGTGGGTAATAAGCGAATGAATAATGCAAAAACAGAGATTTGAGACAGGAAACTGTTCTTGAAGTACACACAGAGAGAGAGAGAGACAGCTGTGCATGAAGTGTGATTTTTATCGTGCTGGAAACAAAACAGCAAAAGTAAGCGGGAATTTATGACGACATTTATCAAATGTGAAGCATAGTTTGCTGCTTCTTTTGCTGCTGGCTCTGTGAATTTTGGTTGGAGAGAGACAAAACCTGCAGCTCAGAATCAGCGCAAAAAGACGTAAACACAGGCGGACCCGACGCATCAGAATCGGTGAGCTCCGTCAGCACGTCCGTGTACGTCGGGTCCGCGCTCTGTGTTTACGTCTTTGTGTGGAATCCGTGTACCTGCTCTCATTTGCTGTTTTGTGGTCGCTGAAATAGTTTTGTGAGCTTTAATCTGAGAATCTGGTGTTTCTGGCAAAACACAGTTACATTTAAAAGTCGATTCAGGATTTAATGAATCGATATCGCTTTATTCAAGCTACTCACCTCTCTCTATCCACCTGCACTTTCAACTGGACCACGGCCAATCAGAGAGGTCCCGCCCCTGACTATCTCTGACTGGTTTAGTCCACGATAGAGGCATAATGTGTGTCTGTTGTTGACCACACGGAGAGTTGCAGAAATCTTTAATTTTTTTTGCTACCCGAACAGTGGGACCAAAGATTTTTTTTAGTCGCACCATTGAAAAATTTGGTCGCATTTGCGACCAAATTGGTTGCACTCTAGAGCCCTGGTCTAAGGTGATCACTTTTGTGCTGCCCATTGGTGCCACAATGAGTTTTCGTGTTAAAACCCATGATCCACTTTCACTCTCTGCTTCTTTAGCAGTAAGTGGTTCTTCATTATTTGACTAGCTAAACTGACACAGGGAAATCCACCTGTCAGCTGTAATGTTCAGGCTCATGAGGCACTATATGAATGAGGACTGTGTGGAAGAGCCCCTGTTTGAGTCAGGTGACCAGTGGTTAACCAGACCGAGAAACTGGAGTGAGAAAATTATTTTTCCTTATGTGGCTGAGTGTACTGAGTGACGCAATCAGCTGATGTGATCAGTACTATATTATGCAATAAAATAATCTCTCTCTTCCCAAGCGCATCCAGACAGTTTACAACATAATTCAGTTCAGTTCAATTCAGTAATAATTGAATAATGTAAATACTTGCTAACAACTGGACAAGCAGGCTAATAGTTTAAAAAGTGCAAGAATTCAATTCAATTCAATTTTATTTATACAGCGCTAAATCATAACAACAGTCGCCTCAAGGTGTTTTATATTGTAAGGTAGACCCTACTACAGGGGTCTCAAACTCGTGGCTTGGGGGCCACGTCACTCCTACTTGCGGCCCATATATTGACATGAAGAAATAAAATGCAATTTGGGCAATTGAGGCTCAAGAGTTGGCAGTTTGTCTTGTAATTGGAAGGTTGCCGGTTTGAGCCACGACTCCGACATTCTCGGTTGCTGTGTCTTTGAGCAAGACACTTCATCCGTTGCCTACTGGTGGTGGTCAGAGGGCCTGGTGGCGCCAGTGTCTGGCAGCCTTGCCTCTGTCAGTGCAGGGCAGCTGTGGCTACAATGTAGCTTGCCATCACCAGTGTGTGAATGTGAGTGCGAATGGGTGATTGACTAAATTTAGTGTAAATTGCTTTGGGGTCCATAGGGACTAATTAAAAGCGCTATACAAATACAGGCCATTTACCATTTTGTTGTTGAGTGCTGTTGGGATTAAATAATTTGCAGTGCCTCAATAATGCTATGCTTTTTTATTAATTAGTGTTATAAAGTCATATATTATAGTATTAAGTGGACACAGCCCTGAAAAATAAAGGCATTAGACTATGTGTCACTGGGGAGTAGAAAGCTGTAGACTCTCGCTCACGCTTGCCTGGGAAAAAGTAGATAAGAGGGGATCATCTCTAGTGGAAAGTTACTGAGACACTATTGTTTAGACTAGATTAGGGTGCCCAGTATTAAAACTGTGAGGGGGACACCACCATTTTGAGATCCGTGGCAACGTGTCATGGAGGACGCATATCCCTTCTAGAAGTATTGTGAAAGAGAAATAAAGTGTTAAATGGTACTGAGCAGTGTTTTGTCTTCCATCGGATGCCTCTGAGGAATCAAAAGAACTTGTTGTTAAATGCTGAGTTTATCCACTACTGACAAACAAACTCTCCGGGTTGCAGGACAACAGCTTAACTTTAAAAAACTGAGAGACTGGAATGACTAGCCAGTGATGAAACAATAGATTTAGTGGTTAAGATGGTCAAATTGTGAGATGTTTTCTGCTGATTGAGCAAGTGATTATTGTATGAAGAAAATTTGTGGTAATATTTTAAATATGCATTTCTGTTGTCCTGTCATCAGGGCCTTGCCCGGCGTTTCTCCACTCTCCGTGTAACACAGGAAACAGCACATCATTTTCCTGTTCGTCCACTCCTGTCTGTTTTTGTTTTTTGTTTTTTGTTTTTATGCCCATTTACAGGCTGCTTTACAGGCCCTGGAAGCCGAGGCTGACCTAGACTTCTGCTCTCCCCTCTACCATCTTCAACGTGACCCTTACAAAACGCTGCAGCAGCTGGACCCACAACAACAAAATGTCAACGGTGCTGCAGGAAAGGGATCTCATACAGATGGAGACGGAGGGTGCTAAACCCAAGGCCTGTTTCACTAAATGGGGAGAAATTCCCAGACAGCTTCAGCTGACAGAGCTGCGATGACACACCCATCAAGCCTGGATGAAAAGATAGGCCGAGCAACAGAACGCTGACCTTGATTACTCTTTATTAACATTGTGTAGGGCACTGACAGACCAACACGGATGATCGGGCAGCAGAGAAAGGAGCGTGCCAGAGACAGAAGTAGCAACTGAGCTCAAAAGACACCTCAGAACACAGAAAACACAGAAGAAGATGCAGGTTTCACCTGCGGCGAGCATGGACACTGGAGAAAGGTGCTAGGATGTGGTACTGCAAAAGAACAAGACCAAAGTAAACTAAGAATACCCATTGTGTTTAACTTTGATAAATTCAAATTAATATGTACCATTATACTCAGAGGATCAACATAAAATAAAATATATGCAAATTTTGTATGTAACACATGACCAATAACTGTTCTGTCCTGAGCTTTTGTTTCCTATAGCACCCACTTGACTACACCACCAATTTTTCATGCCAAAGGAGGGTAATTGCAAATGTTCGAGGGAGGAATATCACCAAAAGTGGGAAAGGTAAGTCCTGATGGGGGTGATAACACCATAAATTTCACTTATTGTGAAATTCCTAAAATTTGACACCAAGCATAAAATTCTCCAAAGATTTAGAGACATGGAGGAATTATAGATGAATATAGTTTAGCAAACCCCATAGAGATTGGGGGTTCGAATCTATAATATTTTGAAATAACACTAAATATAATGTTGACTATGTGGATTATGTTTATTCATTGAAATTGGCTAATCTGACCAGGAAATGCAATAAACAGGACTGTCAGAATGGTCAGCGATAAAGTCACCTTTGACAGTCCAGACTAGGATAGCGTTGGACATCCTCAGGGTGGAAAAAGGGTTGGTGTCACCAAAGTGTGGTTCGGCTTGTTGTATGCATATTTCAAAATGATACAGCTCCGGACGGGCCAGTTACCAGGGCATGGAAGGATGACAGATATTATTAAATGAGGAGAAGGAATTTTCTGGGATTGAAGATCCTCTGGGTGAGTAAGCAACATTAAGGGAACAAAATGCAGTGCCGCACTATCAGATGCCAGTGACGGTTGGGTTCAGTGATGAATCAGCTGATCTGGATTCATGGCTGAATCAGGACATAAATTCCTCTGCTGTGGTCAGTGAGGGAAAGACGGTGGGGAGATTCATATTAACACACAGGTTTTGTTTCTAGGCAGCTCTGCGGATGCAGGCTCTGGGCGGAGCCAGGAGTTCAACAGGTTAACATAATAATTAAACTGA